TCTAATCTGCAGACTCCAGTCCCTTCTAGCATTGATGATGTGACATAGTTGGGTAATGAAACATCTGCAAGAAAACAACCCAGCTTAGAGAGAGGACCAAGGAGCCCACAGTCCACCTCCTCCCTCCCTCCTCTCTTCCTCCTCTCCCTCCTCTCTGTGGTCCCCTCTCCCTTCTAATACTGATGGTGTAACCTTGTTGGGTAATGAAACATCTACACGAAAACAACCCAGCTTAGAGAGAGGACCAGGGAGCCCACAGTCCTCCTCCCTCCCTCTCTCCTCCTCCTTCTCCTCCCCCTCCTCCTCTCTGTGATCTCCTCTCTCTTCTAACACTGATGGTGTAACCTCGTTGGGTAATGAAACATCTGCACGAAAACAACCCAGCTTAGAGAGAGGCCCAAGGACCCCACTGTCCTCCTCCCTCCCTCCTCCTCTCTGTGGTCCCCTCTCCCTTCTAACTCTGATGGTGTAATCTCCTTGGGTAATGAAAGGTCTGCAGGAAAACACAGAGCACCAGGACCTCACGGAAACTGACTTCTTCCATCAGTTTTTGAAAAGAAAAAGACCTTTTTAATTAAAAATGGCCATTGGGGAGGAAGACCTGAGCCTGCCCATTTCGTGGGCCTCAAGAGCACGCCCGCTTTTACAGCCTTCTGCTAATAAGATAATGGCTTGTCCCTTTTTTTTTTTTTGGCCTAATAATTTAACAGCCGAGCTGTCCAAAAATAAGCGCTTGGAAATGTCAAAATGCTTTTATCCTTCAGTGCTTCCTCCTTCCCCCACTTGGTGTTTTATGACATGAGTCTGACAAAGAGATCTTTCACTGTTTTGACAGCTCCCATCAAGGAAGGGTTATGCCGGATAAAATGGGCTGGCATCAGGACCCTGGACAGAGCAATGTTGGCTGAGAATGGCTGTCTCAGCCCTGTTGAGAAGCCCTAACTGGATTGTGCTTGCTTGCTTTCTTAGGAAAGAATTAGGAATAGAATAGAAGAGAAGAGAAGAGAAGAGAAGAGAAGAGAAGAGAAGAGAAGAGAAGAGAAGAGAAGAGGAGGAAGGGAGGAGAATAGAAGGGAAGAAAGAAGGAGAATAGAATAGCATAGAATAAAATTCAGAATAGAATAGAATAGAATAGAATAGAATAGAATAGAATAGAATAGAATAGAATAGAACAGAACAGGGTAGAGAATAGGGTAGAGAATAGGGTAGAGAATGGAATGGAGTGGAGTAGAACAGAACAGAACAGAATAAAGATTAAGGTAGAATGGAGTGGTCACCTGTGGTCACTTGTGGTCCTGTTTCCCCCCCTTCCCCCTGGATGTCTCATAAACCAGATTCTCCAACTGAGCACCTTCACAGGCTGGGTGTCATCATTCACACGTTCTCCAATTCAATATATTCACGGGCAAAAGCTCTGGTAGTTTAGTTACAATCTTTTAAAGATAAAGAGTTGGAATGTAGTTTTTCGTTTCAATTGCTGCACTGAAATTCCAGATTTCCTTCCTCTCCCCGCACCCCGCTTTTTAATGGCAACTATTAAAACAGACATAGGAATGTTTTATGAGTTGACACAGGGATTCACTTACCAAATGGGGCAAGACAGGTTGTAACATGAGGCAAAACTCACTTAACAAATTTCTCATTTAGCAACCTAAATTTTGGGCTCCGTTGAGGTCATGAGTCGAGGACAACCTGTGCTTTCCTTATTCTCGACACCAAGTATGGTTTTTTGAGTTAGGATTCCCTAATTTGTGTTGGGGGAAAAAAAAACCTAAAACATGTTTTTTTTAAAAGGTGGAAGCTTCTGAAAACGCAGCAGGCGTGTTTGTTAGTGATATAAAGTGATATAAGCAATTCCTTAAAATGGAAGGAGGAAAAATGGAATTCTTTCATCATCAAAGCTAGTTTTGCCCAGTTGTCTACAAACCCCTTAATTATTCCACTGCTGGTGATCTCAACAGGTTCTATGTTGGGTATATTTTGTGAGTCTCCATTTGCTCAAAGCTATCTTTAGAAGAAAACACTCATTTTTTTGGTGGGGGGTAGCATTTTTCTTTTCAACTTGGCACTGGAATAGGAAGGAAGCATATATCTGCAGCTGCTCAAAACAAGCTTAATTATTCGGTGGCGGGATATTGAAGTGACTTATTATTTATGTACACCCCGCCTGTGTTATTTTTACAAATAACTCAAGGTGGCAAACATATCCAACATACTTTCCTCTTCCTATTTTCCCCACAACAACAACCCTGTGAAGTGGGTTGGGCTGAGATCATGGGGAGGCTGGCCCAAAGTCACCCAGTTGGGTTTTATGCCTGAGTGGGACTAGAATTCACAGTCTCCTGGTGAATGGCCCAAAGTCACCCAAACACTTTCATGTCTAAGATGGGACTAGAATTCACCCTCTCCTAAATGCTGATTGGCCCAAAGTCACCCAGCTGGCTTTTGTGCTTAAGACAGGCCTAGAACTTACAGTCTCCTAGTGAGTGGCTCAAAGTCACCCAATCATGTTCATGTCTAGAATTCACCATCTCCTAGTGCTGACCGGCCCAAAGTCACCAAGCCGGCTTTTGTGCTTAAGGCGGGCCTAGAATTCACAATCTCCTGGTGAGTGACTCAAAGTCACCACCTGGCTTGCATGCCTCAGGTGGGACTAGAACTCACCATCTCCTGGTTTCTCGCTTGGTGACTTAACCTCTAGACCAAACCGGCTCCCTAGACAACCACTAGACCTGATTTAGCTAATCTGGAGTTTGGTCTCTGTACTTGAATTGCAGGTCCAAATATCTTCATTTTCCTCTCTTCAATTTCTCCTGCAATTGCTAAAACATTATGCATGTTGCAGGTTTCCCATTGCTGCAGATCAGATGTGTGATGGACACCAGCTTAGAGTTTAGAGGAAATTTTTGGAACCGCATATCGATTGGCAGATATGCCTTAAAACTTTAGGTATCCAATCCCACTTCTGGTCTTCTTCCTTAGCTTATTGATCTACCCGCTTCTCTTTTGAACTTAGCCTAAATTAGCTTCATTCTTCTCCTTTTAGAGAAGATCTTTCTATGGCTCACACCATCACCACCACCCCAAAAAACATACACACATTTGTGGCTGCCGCTGTGTGGAATTTTCTGCTCAGCTCTGGTGGGATAGTGGAATGTTTTGTCCCTGGGTAAATCCAAGTCACTCTCTTGTTGTGAAGAAGGAAGGCAGGGGGAAGAACCAACTAAAACAGAATTTTTTCCCTCCCCTTATCTGCTTATTTTCAAATGCGCAGTGTCCCTTGGAGGTTATAAATAATGTGCGTCAAGTTTTGGTTGTTCAAACCTTTGCGGGGTGTTGTTACCCAGGCATACCAAACACCCACGGGTGTCAGACGTTCACAGAACATGCTGTGTTTGCCCTCTTCTTTCGACAACCGCGAGTTTGTGTTACGAAAGGGTGGTGAGCTTCAATTCTGCCCCCTTGGTGAAGCAAACGCCCGTAGAGGCTCTTTAGCCGAGCGGCATGTTCATAGGGGTGGAAAAATCATTAAGAGGACTTTTGAGGGATGGTTTGGAAGCAAGATAAGATCTGTAGATTCTCTTCTGTAAAGGAAGGTTGTGTTTCACGAGCTTTTCTATTTAAGGTCAAAAGGTTCGGTCCAGGGCAGGGGTGTTAAACTCAAGGCCCAGGGTCAGTGGTGGGATTCAAATTTTTTTACTACTGGTTCTGTGGGCGTGGCTTGGTGGGTGTGGCAGGGGAAGGTCCCCATTCCCTCCCCACCCCACTAACCTGCTTTCCAGCTCCGTTCTCCTCTGCAGGGCAACCAAAGAAGACCCAGCCAATCAGCTGGGACTCGGGAGGCAAAGAAGAGATGGGGTTAGTGGGGCCAGTCAGAGGTGGGATTTGCCAGTTCTCCAAACTACTCAAAATTCCCACTACCGGTTCTCTGGAACTGCTCAGAACCTGCTGAAGACCACCTCTGCCCATGGTGCTTAGATCTGCCCCTTGGGGCTGCACTGGCCCGCAGTGCCTCTGCCAGTGAAAATGGAGCCCTCCTGAGCTCCGTTTTTTCTGGCAGAAGATTGCAGGAGGCTGTTGCAGTCAGAAACGGAGTTCGGGAGCCCATTTTCTTTGGCAGAGCACTTGGGCCACCCCAGGTGCCCCCAACCTGAGTGACGTCGAATTGGCCACACATACCTTGGTCCCCCAAGGTCAAACGTATCCCTGATGCAGTCCTTAATGAAATCGAGTTTGATGCCCCTGGTCTGGAGCATTTCCGGGATGACCAGAAGAGCCTTAAGGGACTGTGTTGACTCTGGATTCAGTCTACATCAACACCTAGTTGACCTTGTCATGGTTCACTGAATCAGCCCTAGTTGACTAGGTTTTACAAACCATGGGACATTAGCCAATCTCTGGGTTGGCATAACCCATTGAATCATGAATTAACTGTGCTGGGTTTGCACAGCACTCATATGCACTTAGAACAAGCTTAATGTTGTCAAAATATAGCATGTTGTGTAAATGCAACCACTGATCAGCTAAGGATGTTGACCAAGCACAGTTAGGGGACAATGATGTGATATGCCTCCAAATTTGGCAGGGCAATAGGAAAAACAACAGTTGTTGTTATATCCTGGGTAGGGACTTCATGAAGGTATTTGATCCATGGATGTCCACAATGATGAGACAATTGACATCCCAACACAAGTGACGTGGATTATGTCGTTTCCACGATGATGTCCTAACACCTATGACATCATGTCTTCTACTAAACACCTGCGATCTGATTGGCTGCTGGATAAAAAGGATGCTGGCTGAGATAGGCATGGATCCTTTGCAGAGGACATCCAACGTCCTTGTGAAGGATACCAACTGATGGCCAAAGGCTCATCCTCTTATTGCTTTGGGTTGGGATGCATTCGTGCAAAAGTGTGGATGTAAAATAATGACTACAGCCTACCGGGGTTCCCAAAATAAATTATGACTGTGTTTCTCTCTCTCTCTCTCCCTCGCAGGTAACCAAGATGGTCAAGACTGTCACAACTAGAACGGTGCGCCAAGTGCCCCTTGGTCCTGATGGCCTCCCTACAATGGACGGATCCTCCCCCATGGGTAGCTACACTGACTCCATAGACAGAAGGCAGGTCAAGAATGGAGAGCGGTACATCACCCCCCAGGCATCGTCCACTCTGAACCGAACTTACAACAGCTACAACGATTCCTACCCAGAGAGTCACGATGGCCAATATCGTTCCTTTGTAAGCCACAATGGTTACGGCGACCTGCCGGACAATTATGGAAGCTTGTCTCGGAGTGTCAATTACCGACCGCATTATGCCTACGTACCGGGGAACAATTACCGGCCCGAGGACGGGAGCTTCACTTTGCCAAGCAGGAGGGATAATTACGGACCTCTGGCCCAGCCTCAGGTGCCGACGGGCAGTAACGCAGACTTGAACCGCTCCCAGCCAGAACGGTTCCAACCGGAGCCTTATGGGCTGGAGGATGATAACCGCAGCCTCGGAATTGACGACGAAGGTTATGAACTCGATCCAGAGGTCTCGATGGTGAACCGGAGGACGTCGGCTGGGATCCCGGAGAGAGGGAGACCTCACAAGGGAAGGTAAATGCACAGTTAGATGGTTGCAGGGTAGGCAGGATGGTGTAGGACTCTTGTCCTGCAGGAATCGGTGGAAAGTTTGTTTGGTTTGGACTTGCAGGAGAAGTTGAGGGCTGGTAGTGGAGAAGACCTCGTTATGATAGGCCACCGTTCTAAGATTATTCATGGCATCTTCTCAAGGATGTTCATGCTTGTCTAGGCTCTCTTTTCCTACTCTGCTTTGAAAAATGAGTGAGAGTGTCAGGGTTCCGGTGGATGCCCTAATTAAACCATGAGCATCGAGCCAAGTTTTTTTTAAAAAAAAAATCCAGTTATTTATTAGGAGCAACATGTTGGTGACAGATGAATTTTAAAGCTGACAGTCGGCACATACCCAAATGAAGTCAGCTCTGCCTGACATAATTTACAGCCCTCCTAGCACCCTGTTTCCCCCCGCCCCAGGATGTGTCATAAATCACATTCTCCAATGGAGCACTTTCGCAGGCTGTAGAAATCACACCTCTCCCGTTGGTCCCGGTAGCCTGGGATACAGCCTTGAAGAAGGTATGCCTGGAATGTGCTTCTGGTTGTCACTGCTGCCCCGTCAGTTTCCTCCCACCCCCCCTGCTGCCTATGGCAACTCAAGAGCAGGTCAGGAATGCTTTTCGAGTTGACATTCGGCTCCCCTCACTTCCTGAAGGCGATTTGCAATGGCGGTGCAGAATAATAGAGTTGGAAGGGACCTTCGAAGTCTTCTAGTCCAACCGGCGTTTATCACTCTGGGCAAATGACTGCCCAATCTCTTCTTGAAAACCTCTAGTGATGGAGTGCCCACAACTTCTTCAGACAAGTCATTCCACTGATCAAAAGAATAACAGTTGGAAAGGACCCTGGAGGTCTTTTAATCGAAGCCGCTGCTCAGGCAGGAGACCCTATACCATTCTAGACATATCGCAGTCCAGTCTCTTGGAGACAAGCCATTCCTCTGATTGATTGTTCTCACTGTCAGGAAATTTCTCCTTACTTCTAGACTGAATCTCTCCTTGATAAGTTATTTATTATATATATATATATATATATATATAT